TTTTTTCGATTTCTGGTTTTCGATAGAGATGGTGATTTTTCGCGATTGCAAAATTTTTTTAATATTTCAAATACCGCAAAAATTAACTGAACTCTCAAGAAAAATGAAAAATTCATATAAAACGACGGACGAGAAATGGAAAAGAAATTTTCTTAAATCAGGTTGCAGCTCTCAAGAAAAAAAATGCTCGTATATTTATTCCCTCATGAAAATTTACAGCAAAAGCAAAGCGCTTTTTCAAGCAACGGAAATTATAATAAATATTTCTTATAATTTCCTTGAGAGCTGGATTCTTAGCTTTAATATACAGATTGTGTTTGAGGTTGTTAGCTTTAGGGGGGGTTTGAACCCCAAAACCCACCCCTTGTGTGCGCTAATGTACTCAATACTATGATATCAGCGAAAGTGTGGTTGATGTCAAATCAATAAAGAGAGGATTAACGGTCTGCGGAAGGCGCCACCTTAGTTTCTCGGCATTGTGATTTTAATCAGCACTAGATGTTGACTTCTTAGAAAATACTTGATTGTTTGCCTTATGCCAAGGTTTTTATGAGGCTTGTTCATCAGTTTTATATGTTTTATCTCGCGGCGTATTTGGAGTAATCAGCCAGTTCAAGGCGACTAACCGTCGCAGTGTCCTGGTAAATACTCCAGTTACTTTCTTCTTCCAATGGAGTTCAGCCTTAATTTCCATTCGCCAATGATTCTGATAGTCATCTGTACGATTAATGATTAAATTTTTTTTTTAATCGTTAATCGGCCGTGGTGATTACGATTAATTAATTTACCTTACCAACTTAGTCTCGAGGATAAAAATTTCCACTCTTGTTATTTCATTTAAATACATACTTCGAAAAGATCGCTAAATCATTTGCATTTTTGTAGCAGCATATTTAAAAATTAAAAAAAAAAAATTCACAAAACGATGCACTGTGCTGCACAACAAAATATATAAACCATTACAACACTTTGGAGCTAATGGGGAACGATGCACCCGGGAGGCTATACATATGTTTCCACCGAGTATGGCGAAGGCATGAACAATGTTTTTGTTGTTGCCTATTTGCATTGTTGCCGCATACGAAATGGAATTGTTTAGCATGCAAGTTGCAAATGACATTTGAGTGCAACGTTGTGTTGGGCCAAAAAATAATAGAATGCGAACAGCAGTTGGCGGCAGCGAGGATACAAATGCACAAATACACATGTAGCTGCCAGAGTGCAAAAGCTGAGGCGGCAGTTGCAACTACTTTCAAGACTATGTTCACGCTTTTGAGTTGCATGCGTTGTTGTGTTGTTGCTGGCGCAAGTCCTCTCTATCTCTTTTCTCCTGCAAAGGTACCGCTGCCCCGAATTGAAGTTAATGCTTTTGGTGACACCATTTTGTTTAGATGTTCTTGCCGTTTGTTGCTGTTGTTCGGTTGCATTCTAAAGGGGAATATCTTCATTTCCCTTAGCGGTGGCGACCCACCCAAATTTGAATCCATTTATTTTGTTTGGCTTTATTTTTTGAATATACATATTAAAAATGCAATATGTATGTATGTTTGTTTGTTTGTATGTGTGTGCCAGTTTGTTTTTGTTTGCCTTTAGTGCACTCGAGTGAGTGTCGAGTGGCGAATGACAATGGCGTAAACATTCACGAATACTTAGCGAAGGCGCAATGCCTGCACGTAAAATAAACAGCAGCAACAAAGTATGTGAAGATATGCAAAGAACGAGCTGCGCGTTCTGCATAAAATAGTAAAGAAAAGCACAAAGAAAATGGACGAAAAAGCGAAGAAGCTGAGAAAGTCAGTGGCGGAATGAGACGACTTGGAATTTAAAATGTTAGAACATTGGGAGGAAATGTTGCGAGCTGTACTTTTGGGTTGGTTTTGGGTGGCGCTAGAAGTGGAGTCTATGTACCTAACTCCATACTTTCTCATGCAGCGTATTTCCTGAACAATGGGGTAGCAATCGGTTCAGTAGTATAATTACATGAAAGTACTTAGCTTCTCCCAAATAGGAAATCAACTTCACGAGCGCCAACGCTATCCATGCCCTCATGTTGTTGTTGTTGTTGTAGCGGCTACTTAGCCCCGTCGGTTCGGTCGGTTCATCCGTCAACGTTGTCGTCAATTTCAGCTAGGGGGAGGCCCAGGAAGTGTGCGACTTCCACAGGGGCTGTCCATAGGGACAGGGGCGTCAGCTGAGTGGGGTTCTCAGGGCATGTGTAGAGGTGCCGGCAGTCATGTGGCGACTCTCCACATGCCGGGCATTTTTTTGGGCACATCCTCATTGATTCTACTCAAGTAAGAGTTTAGCCTGCTGCAATAGCCAGAGCGAAGTTGGGCTATTGTAGTGCGGGTCTCCCGAGATAGACAAAGTTCTGTCCCGTCCACGTCCGGTGGTTGTGTGCCTAGAACGGCATTCACAGGGCGGGAGTCTACATTACTTGAGACTGATTCCCTGTGAATGCCGTTCAGGGCCTGTCGGTAGGTGACGGATCCAGAGGTTGTTTGATAAACCTCTGGACTTCGTCCGTCAGTTCGTAAAGATGCCTCCTGACGTACCTTGGCGAGGGCTCTTCCGCGAGCAGCTGTCCGCTGGGATGGCCACGTCTGTGGCTCCCAGCAAGGAACTGCTTGCAGAGTATGCCCTCATACAAGTCAGTGGTGATACCTGGAAATTCTCTTCCAAACACATAGGTTAATTGGCCGACAGAAAGCCAACAAGCAGAAAGATATGACTTTAGATCCAGCCTGCTCCAAGTGCTGGGCAGAATATTTCCTGGAGAATCACCAAAGGACTAAAGGTAAAGGTTTTTATGATCTAATGGCTACGGTTAAGTAGCACAAAGAATTCTTTGCGTAGTGATTAGTCGTAACTTATAAAATGCGCTGACGAAAGGCCAGCTTAATGGCCAATGATTTAACAACACCTGCGTGAATAGACGAAATGAGAGACTGGTGCGCAACTGGCATGTATCCGGGGAATATCATTCTACAACCAAGTCTTCCTAGGCGATATCTATTCAGACCATCTGGACACCAAGCGGTGGATGTACTTAGGGGTACAAGAACTGAATATCTAAGTTATAAATGTAACGCAGTGAAATTCTTGTCACGAAAATCACATTAGCGGAGACTCCCAAAAGGGGTGTTACCCCCTCTACTATGGAGCATCGTTTCCGACAGCTTGATAAAAGAGGTATAAGGATGAGATTACATTGCCGCAATGATTGGTGAGAAATTCCCCAAAATCCGAATCCAGCAAACATAATTGTCTTTTTTTATCGGGACCTCGGACGACATAGTAGAGAGAGTCTCTTATTAGACTTACAACCAACCGGGGACCATTTGCAACAAGAAAACAAAGTTGTAGGAGCTTTTAGTGTTTGTCATTTGCGTAACACGCATTTCGACAATCTTTTCATTAATTTTTTTTTGTGTTTTGCACTACGTAAATATACTACTGAATTGAGCCTACACATCTCTTAAAGCTAACGAACTAAATAAATAAATAAAATAAGAAGTGAGTATAAGAAAATTGCTACAATTACTACCACATATTCCTTTTAAGTGTGGCCATTCCTTGACTAGCCAGCGTTGCCTGCTGCTGAAGCACCAAACGATCCGTAGTGCGAGTAGAAGAAGTTCCACTTGCCATTACGTTTCCGAATTCACCTCCTTCTTCTCCGCCTCCTACCTTGCTGCACACTATTCGCACTCGCTGCGCTCGTCGTCGTACTCGTACTATTTCCCTTCTTGTTGTCTTTGATCTTCCCCAGTACTCGCAACATACGCGCATAGACTAATTTTCGCACGTTCATTGCCCACAGGAAATCCATGTGATTGAACTCCTCCATTGGCACCAGGTATTTGCCAATTCCGTTGCCGAGATCATTATACATGGCCTCCACATCGCCAGGATGGCAGAGCAAGTCGTTGCTGGAATAATACACGTAGGTGGGCACTGTGACCAGCGAGAGATTGTAGCGCGGTGGTATTTGCTCCTTGTAGAGCGCGAAATTCTTGTTGCTGCTGTAGCTGTAGGGTGCGAAACGGCCCGTTTTGATGATTTGTATGAAATGTTTCACTTGCTTAGCAGCCACACCTGCAGGATAGTGACCCAAAATTACGGGGAACATTTTCTAAAAGAGGGAGAGCGATGGAAGGATGGGAAGAGTATAATTTTAAGCAAACTTTTCAATGTTGGAGTTATTTTTTCAATCGGTTACCCTATTGAACTCGCCCCAATTTCGTCCAACTATTCCGAATACAGCCTCAATGCAAAGTCGCTCCGTCTCTTCCGTCATGCGGCAGAGAAATCGAAATTCGCCATTAAACATTTCAGTGACCGAACTGCCAACCAAACTCTATGAATATAAACGACATAAGTATTAAAAGGGTCCAGATCATTCCCTAAACTTCATCCGTACTCACCCGAAAATATAAACTAATTGCTCGAATATATGGATGCTCTTCCGTATCTGAGGCATAAACGGCTGGCGCCAACGCCTGCATCATAATCACTTTCTTGTTGTACTCCGGCCGCTTAGAGCACATTACAAAAAATGCTGTGCAACCCTGCATTTGAAATAAGTTTTTAATTGTTTTTTTTTGTTTTTTGTTTTTTTGAAGTTAAATGCAATGCATTGCACTATTTGTCACTTACTTGCGAGTGTCCTGCATATTGAATTTTCTTGAAACCCGTTGTCTTCAGCACATAATCGATCATCGCTGGTAGATCGTACATGCCGATCTCATGCCAACTAAAGTCCCAGAATTTTTCACCATCCGGATCGAGTTTGGTGTGATTTCGCGAATAACGATTGCCGCGCGCATTACCAAGCCACACATCGTATTTGTAATCGGCTAAGAGATATGCTGGAATTATAAAGTATTTCTTTTTATTTTGCTAATATTTTAAATGAAGTAAGGGGCTTTAACCGCTTTGCTAAGACTTTCTGAAATTGCAATCAATAGGTTGAGAAGATATTGATTAACAAATAGAACGGAGAGACTCTGTCGGCGATCTTTGAGCTGCAAGTTATAAGTATTTAATTATATTTTTTAAAGGTAAAGAGGTCGACCACCAAAGTCATACTACCGAATATAACCCATGGAGCTCTGGTCTGCTGGAAATCGGTAGAGAAAAGTAGTAGTCAGAAAATATTGAAGTGGGTGTACAGACTCGCTGGCCTCAGTATGTCAGATGTTGTGAGCAACACAGCGCAAAGACCTTTTCGCTTAGAATAGAGGTACGCAGGGGTCTTTAGTGAACTTAAAAGAGGGCGCCAGAGCGGGGTCGAGGCTGACTTAAGTATGTAGATGCCAGCCCTGATTACATTATGATATTATGGGACTTGTGTTTCAGGATTCTTAGGAAAAAGTTATACACAGGCATAATGTTCTTCGATGACTTATACCAAAAGGCTCTCTCTGAAGCAGTTACCGGCAGGAAGTATAGGAGGAATCGATACATCTCTTTCCAAACTAGGCAGGTACGGAACTTTGAAAAGCTTCTTTCCAAAAGGTTGGCAGTGATGGCGGAAGTGAAACTATTTGACATCCATAATTTCATGTATAACAGTAAGACAACTTGGATTAATCCCGGGCACGCATAAGGCCGAAATAGACTTAGTGGAAGTATGAAAACTTGGCGCCTTATTAACTTTATTAAACATATCTTACTCTGTGTTCCTTAGCAAATTTTTCAAGCATTCAAGTAGGCGCTATTGTTATTTTTTTAACGTATGTACATTCGTTTAATTTTTATACTGCCTTCAGATAATTGTCGCATAATAATTGCATATGTTTTAGCATAACCCCATAATTACAAAATCATTAGTTTGCAAACAAATTGCTAAGAGCGAGCTATGCTGGCGCGTGTGGTAAGTAAATATATATATGAGGCGATTTCACAAATATGGAAGATGTCGATGAGTGCCAAATCAAATGAAATCATCCCAAGTGTATATGCGATTATTGCAAACATTTCCATTTAATTAATTACACTATGTCGGCAATTACGCAGCATTGTCTTGCACTTATGCACATATGTATGTATGTATGTACATACATCTCACTTAGATGTGCATATGCATACTTACACTCGTGCACACGTGAATAGCGACAGGACTAGATGGCTTGAAGTGATTAGTGCAGCTGTGGTTATAGTTTGGAAAAGGGATTATGAATTTGCCATAACTTATATACAAATACATATATGTATGTATATGTATGTCTGCATACTAAAGTAAACCAACAACACTTAACCACGCATGCAGTGGTGCACCACCAAACAACGCTGGTTGGCTAAACAACATCATCGGCAACAACAACAACAACAACAACAACAAAGTAAGTAGATAAATATGGCAACAGCTGGTTTAATATTAAACAAAAACAACAAGCAGTAACAGTCAAAGTAATAACAGCAACCAGAGGGAGGCAACGAATAGACAGCATTAGCATATCAGCCGATGCGCTTGATGCTGCTTAACAAACTTAAAAGCAACAATAAAAACAATAACAGCAGCTTTGTGGCATAGTTAAGCTTCTGGTTTGTGTAGCAAATGCAAAAGGTATGGGTGTGGGCTAGTATTGTAAATATGTATGTATGTATGTATGTCACTTACCCAAACTGACATTCGGCCCCATTATAACATAGCCGGCCGAGCTGTCGACGAGTCCGTGTTGCAAGAAGAATGGCTGAGCGCCTTGTCGTCGGATGCGGTGCATGGTCAGTATGTAGCCATCTTCGGTGGTGACATGATGCACTTCCGCCGGATAGCCATACTTAGCGATTAATTTATCCTAGTTGATGGACATAGGCAAACATGGCAGGCAGGCACGCACATAGATGAGTTGGACAGCACAGCAGATGGAGATGTTGTCGCAGTTGAGGGTATGGGCCCAGTTGAAGGTACCGTTCATTCATGCGAAGTTGGGCGGAAGATGTTTGCGGAATAGTTGTTCGGTGGGATGCACAGCGGAAGCAATAAGGCATTGCATATGCAAATATGGATGTGGAGAAAGATTTACTAATAATGCTCTGTGTATATGTATGATGCGAACAAGTGATTATGAAGGATGTGTGAAAGTAATGCAATGATAAAGTGACGTGTGATGATGTTGTTAGCTAAACAAACTTTCAGCAAAGTGTCTCTGTGAGATGCAAAACTGTCTTATTTAGTTGGTGTTTTATTGAAACCTCGGTAGAGAAGAAGTTTATTTGGCAATTATGGAAATAATTAGATATCATCGTCAACGTGCAGATGAAACAAAAGTGTCGAAGGCTGAACTCTTGCTTATTGTTTATCAGGCATTGAATTTACGAGCGATTGAAGAGGCACCTCAGGCTCTGAGGATTTTTTGCTAATCGGTTGCACAAGTGGCATAGTAAGGGACTATAAATTAATTGTGAATTCCAAATTACTATCATGTACAAGAATCTAATATTGCTTAAGGGCGAAGTAAAAATTTGAAAAAAAAAAATTATAAAACGAGTTCGCGTAACTACACTTCAACGTCACTTTAACAATTTTATAGATAAAATGAAGACAGCGAGAGTTTTCCACTTAATTGGGTTAAATCTTATGAGAGGGCCACGTTTCAGACTCTCTTCATTATCAGTTGGTTGACCCAATTGTGTAGCGTACTTGTCATTGAAGCGCTGTGCGCGAAGAACTAAGGTTCCGTTCCGGAGGGGTGCCGTTCAAGATATTTCAAACTTAGCCTCGAGAATGTGGCACACATTGAAAGAAAGTGCTAAAATCGTATCAAGTGTGGCCTTAATAGCGCGTCAGCTATGCAGTTAAACGCGTTTAAGCGACTTATGCATTTTCCATACAAAACCAAGAGCAGCGAACACACATACGCACTAAGCTATTCAC